TTCTAGGAAGGAAGTTCTGGAATCATGGCAACCATCACCTCTAAGTAGAAAATCAGAAGGTATGTAATTACCCAATTATTAATACTTAATTCCATCTTTCAATACATGAGTAAAATCATTGACTTTATATCTTTCCTCCTCTATAAACATATTTATAGATAGGTGAGTATTATGCTTTCATCCAAAACAACAAATGCCTTCTCTCGTAGAGGATATGTAAATATTTAAACTTCCCATAAATTCTCTTTAATTTGCATCTGTGATATCCTTACTCCGTATATCCTAAACAGGTATACAAAGTCGTATTGGGTAGAACCATTCAATTTCAAATAGAAACTTTGCAATCAAAATATCAATGCCTGCGAAAACACTTGAAACATCATACATTAGAAGTCACTAATTTTAACTAATGCATTTATAGTTCTACACTTTAATAACTAAAATTCACTTTAATCATTTGATATGCAGGAAGCAGGACACCAAGGACGGAGTAAAAATTGTAGCACTTGAGGCACCGTTAAAGAGGATTCTTGGAGCTGATCAACACAGAGCTAGAGGTTGAACTTGTAGGGTTGACCAATTTGTTTCATGTGCTATAACAATTTGATATGCGAATGAATGTGGGAAGCTTGATGCCTCAGGGTTGTTTTTATAGCTGAGCTTTACATTGCAACTTGTTAGGAATAGGATACGCACAATCACCTTCACTATTCTCACCACCCAACTCAACCAATAGAATTAAAGTAATTCAAACAGTATTTTTTGGCCTTCTATTCACGTACAGTAGTCAACAGTGCACACCTCCATTTAGAACCAATAGAAATAGCTCAAATATATTTTACCTCAATACACTTCTTATTACTTGATGTATTTTATATTTTCTTTTGCAAATGAATAATTGACTCATTTGATGTTGATATTTTTGAGAGGGAACCCTATTCATGAAAAATCTTTTGCTTTTATATATTAATAGATAGAATTAAAGTAATTCAAACAGTATTTTTTGGCCTTCTATTCACGTACAGTAGTCAACAGTGCACACCTCCATTTAGAACCAATAGAAATAGCTCAAATATATTTTACCTCAATACACTTCTTATTACTTGATGTATTTTATATTTTCTTTTGCAAATGAATAATTGACTCATTTGATGTTGATATTTTTGAGAGGGAACCCTATTCATGAAAAATCTTTTGCTTTTATATATTAATAGATAGATTGGATGCACCCGTTACATTAACACGTTAATACGACTGAGTTGACTAATAGAATGCTAATAGGTCGACGCCAGTCCCAACCACTTGATCGACTTCCCCTTGGTCGACGTCAGTCCCCCCGCAGGTCGACTTCTCCTTGGTCGATGCACCCCTGCTGGCAGACGCCCCCCGTAGGTCGATCTCCGAAGGTCGATTTTCCCCTTTTAACTCAGCTATATTACCATGTTAATCTAACAAGTGTACTCAATTAACACTAAAACCCCAAATTTATGTACTTAAAAAGATCAAATGCAATATAATGTACTCTTACTCCACCTCATACAAGTTGGTGTACTCAATTGACCATTTCCTCTATATATATATGTTTGCCGTTCATAGCAAGTGCATGCAATTAATTTCTTCGGATCAGTCGATCTTGGATTCTCAGGTTTCATCATCCTCATCATCCTCAATATCTTTTGGACCCCCAAGTGCAAAATCAATCTCAGTCCTTTCTGCTTCATCCTCTTACTCTATTAGGCATCCTCCTAAGAGTGAATGACTTTCTGGTAGGCAGTTCACTTTTAGGAGGAGGCGATGGAGAAACCTTTGGGGTTTCCCTACCTCCCCAATCCCGAGTGAAAGTTTGACAGTTTTCAAATACAGTCACAGCTTCATTTTGCTAGTCAACTCTTCCAATGTTGAACATAACCTCATATTTTCTTTTCCTCTTCCCTCGTGCCTCAGGGATAAGCTGTAAAGAGAGTAAACAAGCAGTCTCAGATTGGATGGAAAAAAGACACTAACAAAAAGCATGAATGGACAAAATCCAATGTACTGGAAATGGCTTTTTAGCAGTTTACAGGAAACCCTCAAGTTGTGAACTTTTTAAAATACACAAAAACTCATGATCAGAAGATTATAGATGAATGGTTCTCCATCATGTTCCATATTGCATATGAACATTTCAAAAGAGGAAGATCAAGAAAGATAAAACTGCATATGACGTTTCTAATCTTTAAATCATGTATGAAGGATGAATGGTCACAAAAAACAAAATTCTATATTGAATTGGTACTAAGATCTTAAGAGAAGAAAAATTTCCCTCTGCGCATATGAGGTTGGGAAAAATGTTCTTTGGATCATCCAAAATGTTTTTCCAGATGAGATACTTCAAAAAAGGTCCAAAAATAGGTGACCCCAAGATGAGATACTATCATGTAAGTTGACAACGCATAATAAGTGTATGGAGTTGGTATTTTGATTCTCTAAAGTTCTACGTAGTATCATAGAAAGAGTTTCCCGTTATCGTTTAATATTCGTTTATATGTCCTTTTTGTTAGATTTCTGGGCTTCCACGAACCAAGAGAAATTCCATCGGGCATTGGTAATTTCCGATTCAATTTTAATTTTATTCTTCACATACTCTAAAATCTAAAAACTTTTGGATAAACTGTGCAGACTGATGAGATTGAAATAGATCTCTTCACTTCGTATTTAACAGTTGTTACTTTCAAACAAGATAAAAGCAACTGGTGTTATAAGGCCAACTGATACTGAGGTTTACTTATCAGGTACTTCCCATTCATTTCTTGAATGTGAAATGTATGTGAAGTGGGGGAGTGAATTTGGGCAAATCATACTTCACCCTACAATCATGTATTTTATGTTAAAAAATGAGCATAATATTTAATAGAAATTAGTATTATTATTGAATTATAAAATTAGCACAATAAATATTTTGATGACAAAACATTATACGTAGTATTTTGTAGCATATATATTACGTGTTAGGGGTGAACAAAAAAACCGAAAAACCGAAACCGACCGCCAAACCGACCAAAACCGAAACCGACCAAAACCGAAACCGACCAAAACCGAACCGATAAAACCGAAACCGACCGAAAATGACTAATTCATCGGTTATTCGGCTTACGGTTCGTACTTTTGGCTTAAAAAACCGGTCAAATGAAAATAAACCGGCAAAAATGGCTAAAATTGACCAAAATTGTCTCAATTTTTGTGGTCCGATTCTCGGTTTCATCTATTTTTAAAGCCGCTAAAACCGCCCGACTAAAACCGAAACCGATCAAAACCGACCGACTAAAAACCGAAACCGACTAAAACCGAACCGATAAAACCGAAACCGCCAAAACCGAACCGACGAACACCCCTATTACGTGTAAATCATGATACTCCATTGCAGGTTCTAATTAGGGCTGTTATTGAGCCAAGCTGAGCCCGAACACCCAAAGCTCGAATTCGGCTCGATAAGGAATTAGTAGTGTTCGGGTTCGATGGACGTTCGATGTTCGAACGAGGTGCTCGATAAGCTCGATAAATATGCTCAAATTTAAAATTATAGGTGATGCTGGTTAATAAGCTCGTGCTCGAATGATTCAATAATATTCGGTACGTTAATAATCATATTAAATTCATAAAATCATACTAATTATATTTAAATTTTGACATATATATATATATAAATTATATTTATAATTTCAGGGTGTTCGATAGGCTCGAGTTCGAACCGAGCCGAAAGATCATTAAGCTCGGCTCGTTAGGTTCAAAACCGAGCTCGAACTTGAATAGTTCGATAAAAGCTCGGTTCGTTAACAACCATAATTTTAATACTCAATTGTATTACCAATACTAATTTCTTTTAAATGTTATGCTTATTTCTATTAACGTAAAATATCTGATTGTACGGCGAACACCGTACGATCGACTGTATGATATACGTTCTCATTTTGTCAATGATCAACCAATGTAATTCTCTCCTGAAACTTTGTCAGCTTTGGGTTTTTAGGTCTTCACTTTGTCAATTTATTTTTCAAGTAAAGAACTTGTGATTCCAGTTATTTATAACAGGATTTGACTTTCAGCTCATTGTTGGGTGATACTCGTATTAGACATCACACTCCATTTAAAAAAAATAACTTTGCACGCCATCATATAACATTTTGTACTTCATTTTGATGAATGTGGAGCAATGTCAAAGAATTTTTAAGTGAAGTGGATTGCAAATTCATTTTTTTTTCAAAATGAGGTTCAAAATCTAATATTCCCTCCGTCCCCTTTTAAATGTCCCGTTTTACCATATTGGGATGTCCCTATTTAATTGTCTCATACGTTATTTGGTAAAGTTTGTGTGACTCAAAATCATTCTTACTTTATAATTAATATCAACCACACAAATCCACTTTTCTTAAAACTCGTGCCACCCTCTTTCGGGACATTTAAAAGGGGACGGAGGGGAGTACTAGTATCTTCCAAAAACGGGAGTGCAACCTCAATCACACCCGGGCCAATCACAATTCACATGGAAGGATTACACTAAAAAAAGTAAAATTAAGGGAAAACTATCAAATAAACCCTCGTACTATGCTGAAAAAGTCGATTAGGCCCTCGTACTTTACAAACACTCAATTAAGTCCTCGAACTATTAAAAAACTTTCAATTAAGTCCTTTTGGTCGGTAAGTAACCGGTTTCCCGATTAAACGGTGACGACGACGACGGCGACAATGTGCTCGAACCCTAGCAACGGCGGATGCCGGTAAACAGGTTACATTTAACCGGTAAACCGGTTACCTACCGACCGAAAGGGCTTAATTGAATGTTTTTTAATAGTTCGAGAACTTAATTGAGTGTTTGTAAAGTATGAGGGGCTAATCGACTTTTTCGGTATAGTACAGGGACTTATTTGATAGTTTTACCTAAAATTAAAGTTTGCCCACTCAAAACAAAATTGGGACTGACCCGGTGTCCACTGATAGCCTGACCCAAAGTCGGAAGTCCCAAACCCAACAAGGCAAAAGAAGAAACCTTCGTATTCTTCCTGAACTCGGCAAGGTCGAGGAGAACACTGAACACGGAGCTCAAAAGGAAAAAAAGAAGGCTCCGGCTGAACGCGTCGCGCCTTCACCGCGGCGCCCACTCTCTGTCCGACAGCCCATCTGACAGGCTAACCGCGTCGGCTTCTCTGTGTGTGTGGCCACTCACTTGCGCGGCTTCGCCACTGCCAGTCGGCGGTCTCGGGACATCAGGCCTGTTATCCTTACTGTCTTAGGTAATTTTCGTATTTTTTTATATTTTTAATTTAAGTATTTTAATCTTTTTTAATTTCTAATAGATTCATCTAATATATCTTTGAATATTTTGTTCTACTAAGATATGATTCTTTCAAATGTGAATTTATTGTATGATTTTTCGAATAGGTGAATTAATTGTGCGATTTCATGTGCGAAATTGAAAATTAGCGAATGTAAATTTGTTATATTAATGTGAATTATCTGTTTGAAAATAAGATGTCATCATTTCGTTGATTTTTGTCAAGTTAAGTAGGTATGACTATACAATCAACTTCTGAAAAGGAAAAAAGAACATTTCAATCATTTTCTAACTCTATTACAAGTATTGAAAATAGAAAAGTTAAATGTCTTCATATATGTTCCAAATATTTCATCCGTTCCAGAGGAATTCATTTATGATGCCATTAAAATCGAGCGGGATCCGGGAATATGGAGAAACGTCCAATTAACGTTTTAGTATATTGTATCCACTGCATCAAAATATTACTATAAACTAGATTTTTCACCTGTGCGTTGCACGGGATGCATCTAATAGTAATTATTCAATTCTTTTAGATTATGCAATATGCATAAATAAAAATGTGTAAAAAATTAATATTGTTTTATCATAATGTGCATATTATGTTATCTCATGTCCCAAAATTAACAATTTAGTTCTTATGCTGTGGGTCATGAAACTATTAGTCATTTCCTCTTGTAAGAATCAATAGGTAGTTCACAATAATTCTCTCTTTTATAAGTGAACTTAGCAAACTTAGTAAATTGAAGTTGGGACAGGGATTAATCATAAACCATCTTGAGTAAGGAAGAATTGTTGAAAAGGATTTATATTTTTATGGTTTTCACATAATTAAACATTGAAATTTTTTATTTGTCAACATGTGAATAGAAGTTGTATATGATCAAGGGTTTAGGGTTTAGGGTTTAGGGTTTAGGGTAATTCTTAAAGAATCTACCTCTTAATTATGTGTTTTATATTCTTTTCTAAATCTGGTACATCTATAATTGTCCATGGTAGAGCCCGACACAACATAGTCACTAAAAGCGTGGCACTGTTGCTTTAAACCACACCCCGAGACTTACAAACCCACCATGTAAGAGAAAATCAACATGTACATCGCCTTAAAGAGCTACGGTATGACCTTGTGAAGAGTCTACTCGGATGGGTAAAAACTCAAAAATCCAAGTCTGACAAATGCCCCATACTGCACTCAATTTGAGTTATGTGTTCGAGTGTTTCACACATCATCTAGGGATAAACTAAATCTTAATGAAAATTATATTGGGTTCCAAATCTATTCAAGGTTGGTTCTATATTTTTTCTATTCTTGGAAAAACAATCCAACCCAATATTTTGTCTGTTTTGTATTGTTAATGTTATTGGAAATCATTGTCTTTCTGCAAAATTCAATTGTTTATGAACACATTTCTGTTTTCACCTCTCACATTGGAGGGTCATGCTAGTTGTGAGTCTCGATCAACACAACATAGTATAGTTACAAAAGAGAGAATATGGATCTGAATACCCAGCATTTGATTTTTTTTTCAGACAAAAAGACATGGCATCATCACATATTTAATCAATTATCCCATAACAAAGTGATACTATATAGTGATATATTTTACATTATATCCTTTTTACTATTGTGTACAACTTAATGTGCAATATTAGTATATCATTTCTCTCAAAAAACATTAGCATATAATTACTTTATTGATGTGATTATAATGTTTTCTTTTGCATCATAGTATATGATTTGTTGTTGGCAATTCCATTGTTTCTTTTATTTGTACCAATAATTTAAAATTATAAGATAGTATTTTCAACTGTGCATCACTTAATTTCAAGAACCATTGTAACTTACATCCCTTTTTACAGGCCTATGAAAGCTCCTAGAATTATTGAGGTGTGGAAACTGGGCACTCTCAATTACCTTGAGGCACTTAAGCTGCAAGAAAAGTTAGCATCTGATAGGAAATCCCTTAAAATAAGCGATACCCTTTTGTCCTTGCAGCATCCTCCCACGTATACCCTTGGCAAAAGGAGAACTGAACATAACCTATTAATTCCCCAGTCGAAACTCGAAACCATAGGAGCAAAATTTCACTATACTCAAAGAGGAGGTGACATTACTTTTCACGGCCCTCGCCAAGCCATACTGTATCCCATTATTTCTTTGAGAGAGGTTGGTCTTGGAGCTAGAAAGTATGTGGAGAAGCTTGAGTTAACTATGGTTGAGTTAGCGTTGAAATACGGTGTGAAAGCAGAGGGTGGAAAGAGAGTAGGAGAAACTGGCGTTTGGGTCGGGGATAGAAAGATAGGGGCCATTGGAGTACAGATTTCGTCTGGGGTTACCTCACATGGACTGGCGTTCAACGTTGATCCCGATTTAAACTACTTCAAGAATATTGTGCCTTGTGGGATTGTGGATAAAGAGGTCACGAGTTTGAAAAGAGAGGCAAAGGTAGAGCTTCCTGGTGAAGATGTGATTGAGGAAGAGCTCATTTCTTGCTTTACTAGATTGTTTGGTTACAACCATATTGTTTGGAGAGATGTTTCATCCTTACCCCCATTTGATGCTTAAGAGTTCTGTCTCACAACACACAAAATGTATGTTGCACTTTTGCAGTAAAGTAACTAACTAACTACATGAAGAGCTACTCAGCTCCTAAAATTCTGACTATCACATAGCTCCTACAACTCTGGCTATCACTGATAAGTAGAACTAGCAATTATTTAGTTAATGCCTTGGACTGAAAGTGAAACCATACCTTCCCCAGATCTGTGGTACGATAAAGTGGCGTCTTAACAAGGTGCTAAGGCTAGACAACAAGCTAGGTGTTGTCTTGTATTAGTACATGGGAGAAGAATATCCTGAGGTTCTCGGATCCATTCTGGGTGCCTTCAAGGCGATTGTGAACGTTATTGGTATGACTAAGATGACGCCTGCAATCAAAGGAAATGTATCAATCTGATTGGACATATTGCGGACTGTGGGACCGAGTTTGTACCCGCAAGAGTCTGGATAAGGATCTCTTTTGAGATGCTCAAAGCGCATAAGGAGGGCATCAGGCGGGCAATGAACACGTTCAATTATAATGCGAAAGCAATTGAACCCCGCCAAGTTCCTGCTACCTTGCTGAACAACCTCATCGTGCGGGAACATCAAACCTGTGTGGCAATTGTGGCTGAAATCCGTTCCCCCTTCTCATGTTTGTTTAGGTGATACTGTTTTTATACCACTTTTGGTGGGCAGTTTCTCTTATGCATTGATGCCTCAAATTGAGGACCATTTTCATTTCACTTTTGCAATGATTAATGATTTTCCATTTGGTTTCGGGATTCAGTATGTGTTTCCTCAATTTTATGATTCAGTATGTGTTAACTCGTGTCACCCTCTTCCGTCCCAATATAGAAGGGTCCTGGCTCAGCCCTTATGAGTATCTCGAACTAAGTTATACTACCTCCGTCCCTTTTATATTGGGACGGAAGAGGGTGACACGAGTTTTAAGAAAAGTGGGTTTGTGTGGTTGATATTAATTGATAAAGTAATTGGGACTTCCCGAAATGGTAAAACGGGATAATATAAATGGGACGGAGGGAGTATTTTTATTACAATTTATATTTGTAGTGTAAGATTTTTTTAGTACTATAAAAATCTCGCCATGGCTTGAAAAAAGTTCATGAGCTCCATTTCAGCTCGCATCCGGTCGTGTTTGGGGCCTTTATCCGCCAAACTTTGTGCCCTCCACTTGATTCCGTGCTTGTAGGCTGCGAATTCTTTTGATGATGGATCTATAATAAAAACATCATTTATCTCACGATATTCTTTTTCTTCTTGCAGGCGGAACTTACCAGATTATGGCTAAGCAATATCAATCGATTTTTTTAGAGGAATGGCTACAAACCACCATTTCTGGGAGCAGGAACAGTGTGAGCTTAAAACAGCCTTCTTCGACATCCGCCCAAGACATAATTCAAGCTTGGTCAGATTTGCGTGACTCAGTTCAACAACAATCCTTCCATTCTCGTAACCTCCAATCTTTACATTCCCTTTTAACCTCCCAAAGTTCACTGTATATTGCTGACCCACAAGCAAAGCTTCTACTGTCTCTTTTGTCTTCGCCCAAAATCTCACTCCCACAAGAATCATATCCTCCATTGCTCAGGCTGCTGTATATTTGGACTAGGAAATCATCCAGGCCGTCTTCTCATGTTGTAGATTATGCTGTGGAGGTTATCTTACACCTTTTCTCTGTACGGGTTCGTTCTGATAACATCTCCGCTTTCTACACTGAAGGTGTTCTTATACTAGGTGCCCTTTCTCTTGTGAGTTCAGCATCTGAGAAATCTAGGAAGGCCTGCCATGAAATGCTATGTGCTCTACTTGAACAAGAACAAAAGTTTATCCACATGTCTGAAGGATTGATTCCCAATGTTCTTGCTGGAATCGGCTATGCTTTATCTTCTTCACCGAATTTTTATTTTCTTAGAATCCTAGGTATTCTATTTGGAGTTTGGTGTAGAACTGACGGTGCTTTGGCTAGCATTGATAATGGACTTCTAGTACTACATTTAACTGAGTGGGTCATATCAAATTTGATCAATTCACATTCTTCAGATAGTATTAACCTTTTCAGGAGAGAGATTTTGGAAAACCCACCTCCGACATATGCATCATTTGCTGTTCTAATGGTAGCAGCTGGAGTTGTAAGGGTTATTAATAGAACCAATGCACATTTGGTATTAGACCTGAGAGTTCCTGCAGAGGAGCGGCTTGAGGCAATTGCAGGAAACTTGATGATATCAATGACTCGAGATGATGCTAACTGCTCTTCAAGTGTAGAACCTAGAAACGCCTTTCTTCTGCAATGCTTGTCATTAGCTTTATCCAGATGTGGTGTTGTTTCTCATAAAGCTTCACTACTTTTCTGCCTTGAGAAAGCGCTACTGACTGAAGTTTTCCCATTACAATGCTTATACTCTAGGGTCTTAGAGTCACATGCTGGGAATTTGATGGAGATTGAGCTAAATGTTCAACAGCATCTGGATAGTACCATATTTAAAGAAGCAGGAACCATTGCTGCTGTGTTTTGCAATCACTATTTGTCATCTGATAAACTAAACCAAAGTACTGTAGAAAGTCACATGTGGGATTACTGTCAGTATGTCTACTCATGCCATCGGCAGGTGGCTCTAATGCTACCAAGTGTTAAGGAAGGGTTGCGTGTGAGTCTAGATAAAATTGCTGAGTCAGCTTTCTTCATGGTTGTGGTATTTGCATTGACAGTAACAAAGCACAGGCTAGGATCGGGCATTGCTTATGAAGAACATTTGAAGCTTTCAGTACAGATACTAGTTTCATTTTCTTGTATGGAATTTTTTAGACGGATGCGTTTGGTTGAATACATGGATGCAATTAGAGCAGTTATTACTAGTGTTCAGGAGAATGAAGCAGCTTGTGTTTCGTTTGTGAAATCGATGCCACCTTATGCTGATCTGACAAGCAAACCAGGTCCAACCACTTTTCCAAAAAACTTGTGTGTGACCGGTTACCATGAGACGGTAGAACTTAATAACCAAAAACTTTAAGTACTTGGTAATTTTAAAAGATGGTATAAATTATGCACATTATGTAATTAAAGCATCATATGTTTTTACACGTGTCATAAAAAACGGTATTGTCTCAGGGCGTCTCACCGTAATATGATCTCACACAAGACCTACTGTTTTATTCATAATTGTGTAAATATGTTGCCATTTACAATAGCAAACATTTGTAGTGTCATCCATTTCTCAAGAAAGCAAATATGCATGGTCCACTGATGAAGTGCAAACTGCCCGAATTTTGTTTTATTTGCGGGTAATTCAGACTAGCATTGAATGTATGCCAGCATCTGTGTTTAAGACGGTGGTGGCCCCAACAATGTTCTTGTATCCTACAGTGATTGATAACAGTGAGTTACTTATAAATAAAAGAAATTGGTTTTTCCTTGATTCAATGTTTAATCAGATACATGGGACATCCATCTCGAAAAGTGGCTAGAGCAGCACACTCAGTATTTGTGGCTTTCATATCATCTGGAAAGGATCATAACCCAGATGAAGGAGTTTCACTGAAGGAGCAACTTGTCTTTTATTACATGACAAGATCTTTGGAGGTATATTCATACCATTGCTACTTATAGTAATTATTGCTTTATTGCATCAGTTTTTGGATTTATAATGTTTTTTATGGATTGACTGAGTCGATTATGTAGGCATATCCAGGAATTACACCCTTTGAGGGAGTGGCTTCTGGGGTTACTGCAATTGTTAGACATCTTCCTGCTGGAAGCTCCTCAATATTGTATTCCATTCACAGTGTTGTTGAAAAAGCAAATAGCATCTGCTGTGCTTTAAAGAATTGGGATGGAGAGTTATTAGAGCCTTTGAAGAAAATGTTTGAGCTACTTTTGCGACTCCTTTATCTTGTAGATATACAGGTACAACGGTAGAAGCTAAACTTTTGCTTGCTTTTTCTACATTTCTTTTATCTTGTCACCCACATTGCATGTCAAATTTTTCTCTATAACGCTCTGCTGTAGAACCTTTCACTCTTCATGCCTTTTTCACTGTTAGTGAATTGTTTACATGCTCTAAAGCTGGAACATTTTTTACTGTTAGAAATCTCAAAGAGTAGGATATAAAATTTCTTTTTCTGCAGCATAAACTGGTAATTAGTTTATTGCATAGTACTGATGAAGTTATTAACTGTTTCAGGTTCTGCCTACTTTGATGAAGTTACTGGCCCATCTGATTATTCAGCTTCCTACTGATGGCCAGAATCTGGTACTTAATGATTTATATCAGCAGGTTGCAGACTTGGATGATGTTACAAGGAAACCAGCAATGGTTTCTTGGGTGCAGTCACTATCTTACCTCTGTTCTCAAGATTCTAGCAGGAGAGGATCAAATGAAGCAGCAGAACTGCACACTGCTTCTATTGGAAATGTAGACTCATTAAGCCTGAACAAAATAAATGCACGATTGTGATGGATTTATGATGTGGTATACTTTGATTATTTATTCATTATGCTTGTATGTATAGCCATAAAAAGGAATTAATGTTCGAAGACGGAGGTGTTTATTTATAAAACAAAAGTTTTATTTCTAGTTGAATTATCAGGATTTTGCACTAGCTGAAGAAACCCATTGAGAGACTGTCGCTGCCTTCCCTGGAAATTATGCTGTCAAAGATGTCGGCCTTGAAGCTGGTTTATCAGGAAACCAAAGGAGATGAAGTGATGAAGTATTCGAAGTCCGCGATGCGTTGGTCATAAGACTGTGATAGTGTGATAATGTATTATAAACTTTTAGTGTCAATAAACTTACAAAAGATGACAATTTGTATTGTATTCATTTTGATGATATATAACTTGATTCTTTTTGGAATAATTATGATTTTGATTAGTGTTGTTGAGAAAAAAAATGGATGTGAACCATAAAATCTTTGTGGTTTGACTATTTACATAGAACTAGTTTTTTTTTGAATGGACATAGAGCTATATTAATGAAGACACTTGTGGTTTTTTCCAAAGGAATTTATATAAATACTAGTTTTGTGACGCGCGTTGCGCGAGAGAAAAATGACCAATACCCAAATTTTTACCATTTTTTTTATAATGATTTCGTGGCACATGTCTCTTGTGTAGGAAATTTTGCCAGAATGATTTGTGGAACCATATCAACATGATAGTATTATAGTAATAAACAATCTCAAAATTAAAATAGAATTTTGGATGTCATGTTCCTAACATGAAATAGAAATCGAATGTAATGTTTATAGTGGGTGCATAATACATTAATACATACTACGTATGTGAATTAGGATTTGAGCTATAAGCTCTTATCTTACAGCTTATAAGGCTTATCTTTTTTTGAAAAAAAAAAGAATAGCTTATCTAAGCAATAACAAACATCTATGTGCATCTTTTAGCTATAGTGTGGAGTATCAGGCATAACATTTTCATTTCAATTGAAGTATTGAACTATCGATGGATAACTAAGTAATTAATTAACCAATAAATAACTTAATTTAAATCTTCCCTCCCTAAAATGATGTATGGCAGCAACCAAAAAGTGCAGGAAATTAAAGAGCTAAAGTCAAAGAAATGCAATCAAACCCGACACCAAGATTTTTACACGGAAACTCTTCAAATTGAAGAAAAATCGTAGGACCTATAATCCATACAACTCTAATTACCAGGTTGATTTACAATGTTCTCCAAATATAGTTTACATTATCAGCATAAAAAGGAGAGACAAACAGAAGTATAAAACAACAACACTACAAGATAAGAGGAAAGTGATCACCCAAAAATAGAGAACTGTTATGGTCTTGAACTCTTGATAACTCCTGCTCCAGCCCTTCAATCTCAAATTCCACCGTTTGGAACAAATACCAATGAGTTGTAAACCTTCAAATAAATTCCTGGCAGATCCAACAGTAAACGAAGCTAGATTATTGTCAATAAGAAACTGTACAGATGATATCAGCAGGTGCCAGTTCGTATCTTTTCTCACCTTGAATTATGGAGTAGTTGAGTTAAGTTCTGTTTACAAAACCAGGTCACGTAGTCAAGGAGCATGACAGTTCATTTCTCAACTAATTAACTAAATCAAGCATCACATACAGTCAAAATGCATCAAAGGAAACACAACCTTTGAACAGTTGAACTTATACTCGGTTGTTTAAATCTATTACTTACCTCAAATTTGAGCTCCCAACATCTGAACAAAATACACTACAATTACATATATCCTAGAAAGATGCTTTGAAAAATAAGAGTTGGGGATAATTTGCCAATTGTGTTGTCTCAATCTCATATGCTAATCTTCATGCTGTCAATTATCATCAACACAAAATTCACACCATTAGATATTCAAACTCCTTTTTTTATGTAGCATATGTCGAGATTGGATATTTTTTCCCTTTCTTCTTCAAATATGTTATTAGCTTAAAAATGATAGAAATGAATTTTCTCACGTCCATTTTTGTCTTCATCTTGAAAACAAGGTGATCGTGATTTCTAAAGTGAAAAGAGCCAATAAAGAAAGGGACCTCTTCCAGAATAACTTCCAACATTTCAAGTAACCACATTAGAGACTTTATATTTACAATTAATATGATTCGTGAATGTATGTTATTAAGTACCAAATAAATAGTTACATCACACACGAAGTAAAAAGGGGAGAAAGGACTGAAACAATTTCCAGATATATGAATATATTTCAGTATTATAAACAAGGGTAATAAGTCATACACTTATTTAATCATTATTAAGGCTAAATCCTCTATTCCAACCACCTTAATCAAAGGGCAAAACTAAAAAGAACTTTTTTTTGTAAGTCTGTGTCTGACACATACTGACAGATATACATACAATTGCAGGTGACCCTTTCGGAAATGAATTAATGCAAGATATCAAAGTGTATTTTCAATTACATGAATACATTTTTAAAGTTTCTCTATAAATGTCATTTTGACTCCAACTACAACATGATAGAATTTATCCTTTCCAGGTTAATTTTAAAATCTCTAAAGCTACTGGGCAGCAAAATAGCCTAAAACTACGTATTAGAACTCTTCCAAGCCTTAAAAGGACCTGAGCTCTAAACAAAAGGACCCGAGCATTGCATAAACAAAAGGACCAAGCTATATTTTCACTACTCCCTTTCCCACATGTAGAGAGAAGGCATGTAGAAGGAATTTGAGTACTCAATCTGTGTGGTCTTCTAAATATGTCCTCTTAAGGCTTATAACGAAGTGTTATACATAGTACATAATAGCTAAAGGCAATAAAGTTTTGAATCATCTTTTTGCATTAAAAACTGCCGAGTAAAATCAAATACCTCTATGTTGTGCTAAAAAATTAGCGTATGGCTGTCTGGTAGGTTATTACAGGAAATGTTATTGTTTTAAAAATAAAAAAGAACAAATTTTAACTGTAATTATTACCAAAATAAAGGAAAAGAACGATATACTCGTGCGAGAGAACTGAACATGCTTAGAACCCTAACCTCTGTGAGAAAACCATATTCTATCGTAGCGTCAAACGGGGTGGTCTCACTCAAAGCTGACAGAAATTTTAGATGGTGAGTGGTGACCGATATTGCGGCTTAGAGCAAATAAACAGAGTGGTGATTGGCTTGGTGAGAAATGATACCGTGGACAAAGCAGAGAAAGAGGCAGATCCCAAACACTGACACAATAATATGAGGTATTAATGATGAAGGGAATGAGCAAAGTCTGGCAGAAAATGAAGAAACGAAATGGAGACATATGGGGCGAGTTGGGTGTCATTTGGACGTTTGGCGCCGGGGCACAAAAACGATGGGAACTGGGTGAGGTTAGGGGCAGATGGGACAATTATAAGTTTTTAAGAATTCAAAAGGAAGACTGCCTTGATATATTGACAACGACTTCTTCTGCCTGAAACAAAATGTGAAGAAACAAAAGCAGCAAGCTCATACACCTGAAAAAGGATTGATGACTCAAGAAGAATTACATATAACCTCCATGATCTTCCAACTTGAGAACTACAAACAGTGACAAAGGTTGGTTGCACACCAGCCAAATAACTGCTATAATCGATAATTCTCTATTGTTCAAGGAAACCACAGTCATGGATCCATGGTCCACTCCACTTGTCTGCAAAATGATAGTAGTATATAAGAACTTTTGTTTGATTGTTATAATTGTTTCATTTGAGTTCAGTGTGGATAAAGATATTTATCCAAATTAAGCAATCTTTGTATAAGAGTGTGAGTTTGTTGAATCAATAATATGAATAGGATAAAATCACAAGATTAAAGTTACTTTTAGACTGCGTTGTAAATGGTAATATATTTAATCTCATTTATTAACAAACATCTACTTTATCATAGTTTCTCAATAAAAAAGAATTCATAGAATAGAAAAGAAAATCATAAGGATCAACTGACCGAGGTTAAATGATTAAGCCATTTTTTTTTACTAAAAAAGGGTGATATTTCCAATTAAGTTATATGTTTACACGGCTCAATGGCACCATTAAGTCACTATTCAAATAAACCCATTAGGTCATAAGAACTAACATGGAAAACTTTAGCACCTAATACAAAAAGTTCACCTGCTAAACTCTTCATACCAAACTTGAAACCCAAAATTGAAACCCAGATCCTTGAGTGATAGTGGAATAGATTTAGATTTAGTTTTCAGTCCATTGGCCAAAGGACAAACCTTGTAAATAGCATGTTGAACCAAACAAAGTATCGTTGAGCACACTTGAACTCTTGCTACTGCTATGACAGAACTTGCTGCCTCCTCAATCTCCTGCTGATTTTGGCAGCTCTTATCTTATTTCATAGCTTGTAAAGGTAATCTTCGGTCTGAGGTAGAAAGGATGAGAGAACATTATATATCTCTCTGCGTACCAGGAGCAACTTGTGAATTCTAAAGTATCGCTTTCTTGAGTCATATGCTCAACTTTCCGTTTTTTTACATCCAAATCCCAAAACATGATCTACTTAGTTTGGCGTGACACAGGTACAGGGACAGTAGAAATTAAAACTCAAAGCATTAGAGGATGTATTGAATGAAAACATGAAATTAAATGAAAACTTGAAATTAAATGAAAACTTGAATGGTATCAATAAGTTGGAGAGAATATACATACCATATGGTGATGACACATCTTATGGCCATGAAACTCGAAAGCAACACCCTAGAAGCGGACATGTGCGGTACAAAAAGAAGACAGATACAAAAGGGGATTAGCTTTACCTAGTGATGGAGTATATGGCCCGGGAACCCCCGGCCCACAGACTCCTACTAATCTATCACAAGCCCAACAAGCCCAAGGAGCTCAGGAGGCCCAAGATTCGGCGGCCCAAGTGTCAAGAAGCCCACAGTACACACAGGGGTGCCTTCGGCCTCCTTGACCGAAGGCTCCACAGAACCGCCATGTTCGACCATGCAAAGCTACTGGGAGAAAACGACAGAAAAAAGGAGCCCTCGGCACCAGGGAAGCCCTCGGCTGAACCAAGCCTTCGGCTACACAGGGCCTTCGGCCACACGAAGCCCTCGGCTACGCGAGGAGCCTTCGACCTTACATGAAGCCCTCGGCCATACATGAAGCCCCCGGCCATACATGAAGCCCTCGGCCATACATGAAGCCCTCGACCATACATGAAGCCCTCGGCCATACATGAAGCCCTCGGCCATACATGAAGCCCTCGGCCATACATGAAGCCTTCGGCCATACATGAAGCCCTCGGCCATACATGAAGCCTTCGGCCATACATGAAGCCCTCGGCCATACATGAAGCCTTCGGCCATACATGAAGCCTTCGGCCATACATGAAGCCTTCGGCCATACACAGTGCCTTCATCCACACGAAGCCCTCGGCTACGCGAGGAGCCTTCGGCTAAACAGACTCAATCATCGAAGATTCCCTTTGGAGACAGCCAACCACCGCATTTAATGCGACGTCACATCCACCCACCGCATTTAATG